CTCTCTCTCTCTCTCTCTCTCTCTCTCTCTCTCTCTCTCTGTGTGTGTGTGTGTGTGTGTGTGTGTGTGTGTCTTCTTCTTCGTCGTGGTCTTCTCTGCAGGTGCGCGGCGGCTTCTCCCACCTTCAGGTCCGCTATGACGGACTATGACTCTCAGCGGCCACCTCTGCTGTGGCGCATCAACCCCTGCTCACGACGGCGCGCATGGAATAGCGGGTACCAGCTCTGATACCAATGCAATCAGACTTGCTTTCATTCACACTTTACATGTATGCAAACAGTAGCGCAGCAAACTGGCGATATGCGCCCACTTCAAAACTCAGAGATATGACAATCCAGATACGAGTTCACTTTCGATGGCTATGGTGACTGAGCGCCCAAACAACTCTCGGTTCGCATACACCGGATCACCCTGGATATCCCACACGCGATACTCTGCACTCACACATACACACACACACTACACACTAACTCTAGCTATGGCGGCTATGGCCGCAATCTACCCTATTGCTATGCTACGCTCCACCTCTCTCGCCCACTTCAGCTCCGGGCTCACTGCAGACCTCCTTGCACAAGTCGCTGTGGCAGCGCTTCCGCATGGCTCACACAGGAATGAATGAATAGCTGGGCGCTGCCTCTTGATTTATACTTCTGAAACTCGTTGGTCTGCCCTCTTCCATCGGCCCATGGTGCTCACAGTCCCTCGTGGTACTTGCTGGACCGGACTGGGACTGACTGGACCTTACCGCTGACTGAATGGGGACTCACTGCCAACCTACCGGAGTCGTACTGCAATTGCACTGCAGTTTAGTCCACCACTTGACTCACCACTTGCCCATTTGCCYACTTGCCGACCTCCTAGAAGGACTACAGCTAAGACTTCTGGAACTCGCTAAGACTTCTATTCCACCAATCTACAGATCGAACCCCTGCTACCTACGGACCTATGACAGCCTACCAACTGTTTACGAATACACAGGTCACAGGTTCAACTCTCGGGGTCTACACAGGTACTGTACACAGGTAGGGCAAGGTCTAGGGATCGAGCCCTGGGATCTGCATCCGCTACTGCAAAGAGGTGAAAACCGTTTCAAAGTGGCTTGCGCGGGTCCTGGCGGGCGGGYCTTGCCGTCCGCGGGTCGCGAGGCGCTAGCGCTCTGTTCGAGGTCTGGTCTCCTGGCGTTCCTCTCCCAATCAACCACCAACCACAATAGGCGTGAAAGCCGCGGCTCCATGTGTGCGCACGTGTGGGGACTCACTGTCTCAAATCCCGAGGCTGCCTTCTTTTTTGGGTGCAGTAAACAGCCATGTTCGGCAGGTATTTGACATTTTACCTCACCAAGCCTTTCCAAATGTACCTACCTAACTTCACCCGAATACAACATATGGTCATTATTGCTGTATTTAGACTGAAAGATAGCCCAGATACAGCTATAATTGCCRTGCATTGTGTTGGGGTGAAGAAAGTAGTTGCCATAGCTCCGATCCGCTTGAAAAGGCAGTAGCTGAGATGAGACATTGAGCTTGCATGCCAGATGGTTGTTACAATCCTGGCCATTCCCAAAGTGCAAATTCACAATGAAAGACAATGCCATCCAATTGTGAAAGAAATGAAAGCACTTGCAAAGAGATAGAGACCAAAGAAGAGAGAGAGAAGACGACGACGACGACGACGACGACG